TATATAATTCTAGTATAATTATATTACAATTTGGAATAATAATTGTCAAAATGTTATAAGAATTCATATTTACACTTATTTTAAAAAATATTATAAAGATTAATTTCATACCGCAGACATTCGTAATATGTTTAATTACGCTATAACATAGTAGGATATAAAATATTGGAAAGTTTTGTCACGTAGCGTGCTACGTGGCGTCGGCACAACTACGCAACTCATCAGAGCATATTGAGCACGACACGAAAGGCAAAACGGAAGTGTTCTCTCTGTTTGAAACAGTCCTGACAGTCGCGCGTCACGTCTTGGACATCCGGTAAATTGCATACGCGTACGCGGTCTGATATATATGAATTACATGACAGAAGTATCATAAAAGAGAAACATGAGAAAAAAACAATATGTCTGACGAAAAATGCATAAAAAAACATAGCGAGTTGTACGGAAAGATAGTCTATGTATTTCTGATTTGCAACAAATGCGCAAACGGAAATTCATTGTCCATTATGTGTTCATTACGTGGTGCAGAGATGGTCAATTTATGTCAGCAATGAATTAATAATTCGATGTACGTTTGCTAGATATAAAAATACAGATATTTACAATTCAAGTACTCTGTTCGTAATGTAATGTTTCACGATGTCAATTTATTTAGTTACGGATCTCTTGACGTCTGTCTAGCTAGCCCCCTCCCCCCCCCCCACTTTGTACAAATCAATATAAAAATTTGTACAAAGTGGGAGGGGGAGGGGGGGTAGCTAGGCAGACGTGAGAGATCTCTTGTTTCCAATTAAAAAAAAACTTTTCTAAAATTGTAAAATTAGAAAAAACGTTTTTTACTTAAATTTTTATAGTTACTTAGAATAGTTACTAAATTTAAAGGAAGATTTAGTTTTTTGTTAAAAAAACCTTATTCCAAACTCGTTAAAATATCCGTCATTAAAATTAAAGTAGAAAATTTTTTATTACATCTTGTATGCAAAATTTTATTTACGAGCATTTTTGAATATAAAAATGAACAAGTCGAAGAACAGTGTTGTTCATGAATGCAAACGTAGTCACGCTCGCGTTCTTGTAAAAGTTGTGCTTGGAAGATATACGCACCGATGATAGCTGTCCCGGCTCCATCTCCGGCATAAATCGCCGACAACGGCTTCACTCACCCTTACTTGAAAACGCGAAAGAACCACGTATAGTCGTTTTGCCTCCTCCTGAATTTCGTGACTCAGCTTTCTCTTTTTCATGCCGAGCGTATTCCATCCAGACAACAACGTGTCAAAAATATTTTCCAGATTTTATTGACATTAAATGTATAAAATAATTTATATCTCATGCACATTATTTTAGTGTTGTAACTCCTTAACACAATAATCCCGAATTATCCTATATATATAATGTACGTGTGAAAAATTTAATTTATAAATACTAATATTTAATTTATATTAGTAGATATTGCATTAAAACAATATATTATTTTTGTCTTCGTTATCTTAATAAATTTGTATTTTTTTAATAATGTTATGTATACTTAAAATAAACTCCCCGATTTGAGAAAATACACATGCTAATCTCTATTCGCATCTCTATTTGTTCTGCATAAATGAAAATTCTATAGCTGACGCCCGTACGAAAAATACGTGAAAAATTGGCGCGGTAAGATTTCGTGGGAAGTAGAGCAGTGTTATAGACACTGCTTTCATGTGCGTCAGAATAAATAGAACGATACGAAAATCGACCAGGATAGAAACGCATTGCTCGCAAAGGTATTGTTGTAACTTCCATGCCGTCGGCTTTTTTTCTCGTTTTTTTATTTTCCTATTGGACAAAGTGTCTCCAATATGGCTTTATTTTCGCGAGGTTTTGCAGTTTTCCGATTTGCTTCACTTTCAACTAACCATTTCGCAACTTGCCTTCGTAAAAAAGAAAGAATCATAGGATGCAGAAAAGCAAACGGAATGTTCAGTAACACGGAAATATCCGTAAAAAGTGCTGATATTTTTGGCATTTATTTTGCCAACCAACTCTCTCTGTTGCATGTATAAACGTATGATATTGTTAATTATGTGCATTCTATATTTAAACAGTTTTACATGTATTTAAATTATACAAAAAGTCAATTTTTATATATTTTTTATATAAAAAATAGACAAATAAATACAAAAATAAATTAAAGATAATTTCAAATAATTTTTCTGCAGATTTCAAAAGGTTAAAACAATCGAGAAACGTGTGATTTTCATTTCAGTTTACATCGACAGTTAATGTGCAATTACCATTAAAAGGTTAATATTTCAATCTGACTTTAACACACTAACACGTGTTGTGCAGTTGTAATTCTGAAAATGTTTTCCACCATAAAATCCCCTTCAACGATAAAAAATTTAAACTTATTAAGGCAAAATTTTGCGCAAAATCAATACAATTACAAAGAGAAAAAGAGCTGGGCGTTTGTATTGAAAAAATTAGCATTTGAATGGTCGGGATACAACAAATATGGACTTTATACACATGACATCATTAACTATGATCATCCCATTATGCGTGAAGCTTTGCGTCGATTACCTGAAGACGTATTGGATGCCAGAAATTTCAGGTAACATATCATAAACTTGTATTTAGAAAAAAATCTTGTAACATCTGTAAACCGTTTTGTAGGTTAAAAAATATTTAAAAAATAACAAAAATATAAATATTTCGATTCATCAAGTTATTAAAACAAAAGCGAATAATCTCTCTTACAAACTTTAAAAATAAAATTACTATTCCATGATCTGATTTAATTTCACTTTAACAATCGAGGCTTAACATATAATTCCGACAGCTATTCAATCCACGTTCGCTCTTTCAAATGACTGATCTAAAGTTTCTTTGAACTTCCAAGCAGTACATAGTTTCTTTAAGATTCACCTTAGATATAAAGCCGTCATGCATCGACCGGGCGAAAATGCCGTCAGATGCATCAGCGTGTTGCATCGCGCTTCAAAAAGTTGCTAGAGCGTCGCTTTTATTAAGTGCTAAATTCGCTTAACGAGGTCTTAATTTGACGCCTGGTTCCCGGCAGTCGGCGTTCGTATTCTACGAGCAACTTTCGATACAGCAGTTTGC